ATTACCACCACATGCAAATCTATACATACATTTTTATGAAGGAAACTGTATTGTTCTAGCTGAAAGAACATCAGCCCACTCGATAGTTTCGCGAACCACAAAAGATGAAGGAATGAGCTTTAAGGACTAGTTTTTTCTCTATAGAAGAATGAATTACTTGATGGTCGCTTAGCAACCGAAACCAAAAAGTGACTGACCATTTCGGTTGTTTAAATGTGCGGTTCATACATTATGCAGAATTTCTCAGAAATAATATTGCTAAAAGTTTATAATACGCCAACAAGACTCAAACCACGGAAATACCCGGCAAATCCTACATTGTTAGCAGAAGTTAACAATCAAACAAAGCTTAATTTACGAATATTTAATTACTTACAAAACCTTACTTTTTTTACTTTATAATAAGTCTACCTTTATCATGTGCTTTTAGTGTATTTTAACAGTATAACTGTAAACTTTTTTTAATGTTTAAACAAGAAAATATAAATTGTATGTTTCAAAAAGAGGGGATTCTTCCTCAATATTAAATACATGTAAAAACAAATTATCCATTTATTTTGTCTACAAACAAATTAACAGATGCCTAGAAACAATCATATAATGTGTATTTATTTTCGAACAATTTTTGCAAATGTTAGTGGGAAGACAATTAAACCAACTTTTGACCTTGATTTTCAAAAACAATTAATAAGTTCGTGCAGTTTTCTCTCTTAACTAATCATTACTTTCTAGAAAACACATAAAACACAAGTCTTTCAGCAAAATTGGAACGTTTGAAATACATATTAGTAACAAAACTGATAATGAGAATGGTTAAAACATATTTATCATTATTGTGTTATTCTTTATTTCATTTAAGGCATATGAAACCATTAGAATTTCCTCACTTCTCATTCGAGGAATATTACTTTCTATCAAGTTAAAGCTATCATATTTTTAATATCTACAGTAAATTTATAAATAAAACCGTACTAAACAGTGTAAAATGATCAGTTGTATAATAATAAGGCCTTCTATAAATATGCTTTATTTCGTGTTTTATTATTGGGTTCTTTAATGACACAAAATATTCGCTGGAATTGTTTAGCGAAATGCGGTAATTGTTGTTACTCATTTTATCAATGCTTTGTTGTTTTATGTATTATTATTACTCACATTAACAAAGTGACACAACTGTCTCAAATTTCGAAAATGTGATTACAGTAGATAATAAATACCTACTTAATACAGTTAATTAGTCACTTTCATGTGGG